CCGCCCGTCTGGTCGCTTCGGCGAGCAGAAGCACTACTTCAGCGGTAAGCACAAACTGTACGGTCTCAAGATCGAGGCATCGGTCTCACCTGAAGGTCTCTTGGTGGACATGAGCGCGCACGAACCAGGTTCGGTGTCTGACATCACCATGTTTCGTGACCGCCAGGACATTCATGCTGCGGCCCTAGTCAAGGACGCAAGTGAGTCCGTGATCAACAACAACGGTGAACTCTTTCAGGACTTTCCTGCATCGTGGTATGTGCTGGTGGACAAGGGCTACATTGGCCTGACTGCGTCGACGCGAGCCATCCACCCGAAGAAGCGTCTCTAGAACGGATCCCTCGATCGCCACGACCTGGAACGGAACGCCAACGTCTCGTCTGATCGTGTCATCGTGGAGAACTTCTTCGGGAGGGTGTGTCTCCTGTGGAAGATCTCCTACGCAACGTTTGTGTGGGGTACGAAGTGCTACGATGCCATCCAACGCCTTACCTTCGCACTGACCAACTACCACCTGACGCTCATGCCCCTGCGCCAATACGATCAGCATCAGTACCGCGCAGTCATGGCACGTTACCGACGTATGGTGGAAGAAAACAACGTCAAGCGCGCCGCCATACAGCGTCGCTACGCTGTTCGTTGCGCGGAGAGAATGGCTACGGAGTCGTTGCGTTCTTCTTTTGCTGCTCGCGTGACTTTCTCACCTTCCGCGAACACCCGCCGCTAAGTATAATAATATAACTTTATACTTGATATTTGTAGGATACACTAAATTTTGTTCATTATATGTGTTCCTGACATATTCTTCGGACTTGATCAGTATCTGCATCAATTCCAAAATATGGAAGCCATTGATCTCTTCCGACATAGATCGTCATAAGCAATGTATTCAATTGTTGACTCCATTCATTATCAGCAAGTTCGATTCTCAGCACTTATGTCCCAACTAAGTACGCTCGAAAAGACTCCAACAGTTTAAGTACGCCCTAAAATGCTCCATCCCAAACCCTCGCTCGGAAATAATCCATCGTTTGCTCGAAAATAATCTTTTCCCGCCGCTCCTGAGACCCCGGTGTCGAACAAACTGTCGGCGGGGAATTCAAAGGACGACAAAGAGTGGCTGGGGTGGCACCGACCCATCGTCCGTAACTTCTGGTAAGAATATACAACTGCAACCATGACTACAAGTCATGGTTTGTATACTTAAATTTTGTATGCGTGGATCAGGCTTCAGGCTGCTTGTTCCCCGAGAGCGGAACACATGTGTTGGATCGTGAAAGGTGGGTCTCGGAGAATTGGGCAGAGGACATTGCGCGGCGGAGGGGAAGGTCGATGGACGAACTGGAGTGCTAACAGGTGTACAGTGGGGTGCACAGAGGAAGGGGTGTAGAACAAAGTACCAGGTATATTTTGTTAACTGAGAGAACTAGCTATCTCTGAGCTGGTTTCCTTGGCGCGCGGCTGCGCGCCAGTCATGCAATTCATGTCCAATGAATGGTACGGAGGTCGTAGAGCTAGTGATTCAAGACACTTCGATTGCCAAGTGTCCTCTTGGGTCAGGATTGGAACTGAACAGGGTTGTCGTGTCCGGATGTCATCCGGAGCCCTTACATTCGTCGTTCAATCCGTACTGCAAAAACAACATCTATGACAGCTGTACAGTTCACTTTTTTCTCGCTTACCAGAAAGGTTCGGACTTCTATTTTGCTAACTGTAAAGGTCTGTATTGTACGTATGGGCATGGTTCCGTGACACTTTTTGGGACTCTTCTATGGACGGGTTCCTTTACTCCAAATTGCTAATATAATAGTGTTTCTTAACGAGGAGAATTAATCCAGTTCGTAGACGTAAAATCATGTTATTGGTGTTGATGGAAAATAAACTAAAATACTGAAAATATCCATAGGCTGAAAAGTCATAAAACCGTTGTGGGAGCGAAACCGTTATGGGAGCGAAACCGTCATGGGAGCGACTGGGTGACTGTATCCAACAACCATGAAGGAGGCAAGCGTATGGGGATAGTACGATCGTATGTGTGCAAAGTACCGGTACAGTATCAACCCACCGTACTGCAAGAGTTACTTTACTGTTATAAGACCAGTCCCTTC